TGCCCATAAAAGGCCGCCGCAAAACTTTGCAAAGCGCTCGCGCCCGCCCTGCCCTGCCCTGCGCGGCCCAGACCCCGAGGGGGCTGACCTAGGCGCTGAGTCACACACCAACCACTTCCTGCACGGGGGACGGCGGGCGGAGCCCAAGGCGGCCGCGGCATCCCTCTCCTCGGCCTCCGCGACTTCCCTACAAGGCCTGGAGACCCGGGGTCTCCGCCTCTCACGGCGCTCTGGAATGCGGGCTTGGGAAAGCCGCGGGATGGACGCAACCATCTGCGGGGGGGACGGCGGGGCCACAATGCAAGAAGGGACGCAGAGCGGGCGAAGCGCCAGTGACTAGAGCACGGCATCTTGTGCACAGCCCGTCTGCTCCGAGATCCGCGCTCTCCTCTCCCGCTCGGCGCCCTGCGCTCGCCAGCTGCTCGGGGCTCTTCCCTGGCGTCCCCCCCCCGCCGCCGCGCCCACATGGAAGAGGCGGTGAGCATGGCCGCTAGGCTTCCTTCCGGTCTGCTGGCGGGGACCGGAAGTGGCCTGCTAGCGGCGGGCTGGCTGGCCGGGTAGGTGCGAGCGGCCGGCAGAGCTGCGCCGGAGACGGCCTCGGTTGGATTGTCGAGTGCGGCCGAGCAGGGTGAGTGCGGCCGGCCGTCGGGGAGAGCACCGGGGCTGTGCGATCGCGGGCTGCGCAGGCTTTGCTCCGTCCGCCAGACTCGCGGCTTGGCGAGTGTTGCTAACTCTGCCGCCAGGCTGGAGGGAGTTTGCGGACGGACGGACGGACCGACAGTGGCGGTGCGCGGCCGCCACCCTCCGCCCTCTGCAGCTGTGGTTGCAGCTGTGCGGCTAGGTTTAAGTGGGAGGGGATCGGCGGCTCGCTCGCTCGGATGCGCGCCTCGGATCAGAACTTTTGTTGTTGTTGTTGCTGTTAAATTAAGGGTTATCTGAACAGGGAGCAGCAGATTGGGGGTTTCGTTTGCCTCTCGAGGGGACCCAGTCGACTTGACAGTGGAGTGTTTTTTTTTTTTTTTCGAGTCGTTCATATAAGCTACATTATTAGATCTTTATAGAGATGGATCGTTTAAGATTGTTTAGCTTCTTAAATGCCAAAGTTTGTATCAAGAGGTGAGGAAGGCGAGGCTTTACTGAAATAGGTGGTGGTTTTTTGTTTTGTTTTGTTTTCTGGATGGCCCTTGATGAGGGTTAAATAGAAACGCATTTTACCTTCAGAAGTGAGGCGTTTAGTTGACAAGTCGGTCCTTGCCACTAATTGACTTTTAAAAGGTGCTCAGAACCCTTGGGTGTGGCTATCTAGGAGATCTAAGCTGACTCTCAACCGGAAGTGTGCCTGAGAAATGAAAACCCTACTTTCCTTGGGACTGGAACACCTAACTTGAAAATACACTTTGAAAAACTGAGTTTGCACACACACACACACCCATCTCATCTGAGAAAAAAAAATGGCATTGATTAAATGAGATACATTTGAAGTTCGAAGCAGGCCAGATACCTAGGTGATAGCACACTTACGAGGTTCTGAGATGGGAGTTTTCCAAAGGATATATTAACTAGTTGTTTTTTGTTTTTGCTTTTCAAGACAGGGTTTCTGTGTGTTGCTTTGGAACCTGTCCTGATACTCGCTCCAGGTAGACCAGGCTGTCCTTGAACGCACAGAGATCCGACTGCCTTTTCCTCCCTAGTGCTGGGCCTAAAAGGTGTGCACCACCTACGACCTGCATATTAACTAAAGAGAGTTTTTCATTAAAAAGTATTTAATTAAACGTACTTTAGATGTTCTGCTAAGGAATTTTTAGTTTTTGCATGTATTGCCAGTTTAGGAGTGTGAGATCCTATTATTTTAAGGTAGACAATCTCCTGTATGTCTTAGGATGGATTGGTCCTACCTCACAGGTTTCATAGGCTGCTTTGTTGTTGTTATTTTAGATGGAGTGTCATTGTAGCCCAGGCTATCCTAGAACTGAGATGGACTTCCTGCTTCAAGTGCTAGGAACATATACCCAGCTATGAACCGCCACACCCAGCTTTAGCTTTTTCAAAAGTTAGATAACATAGTTTCTGTAGATTCTACATTTCTAAAGATTCCGAAAAATCCAGTTGCCCTTGGTATGTGTAGAAAGCCTCTCTGGGAGTCTGTCTTCTGTTTTCCCTATGTCTTCAGGGTCTGACGTCTTCCTCAAGCATGAGGCTGCCGTCTTAGCAAACTGCTAACACACAAAATTGCCTGGTCTGGCGCTGTAGCTCAGTGATAGAGTGCTCGCCAAGCATAGCATACGCCAGGGCCCTGTGACCAGAGCTACAAAACAACCGACACCACACTTGTCATTTATGCATGCCTGTTTTGACTTAAGACAAGGTTCTGCTCCTTGCATCTGTGAACAGAAACCCTGACCACGTTTTATTGTCCTTCCTTCTCTTTCTGCTGCTTTGAAGGCCTGGTGTGTCCCATAGGAGGAGGGCCTGTCTGCAAGTCTTTAGTGTTTCATCCCAAAAATCTTTCACAAAGGCTTCCGAAATGAGGGTCTCAGTTGATCCTCCCATGCACCCTAAATGAGATTGTAACATATTTGCAATTTCACTCTGCTCTAGCTTTTTAAACTAACATGAGGATTAAGTTTTACAGTACAGTGTCACTCAGAACCACAGAAAAGAGAATTTTACCACTGTCAAACATTATCTCTTTGCCATCGTAGCACCATTCTCCACGTGCCCTTTGCCTAAGTTTATTCCAGACTGTGGTTTGGTGTAGGTGTGTAGTTGCCGGTCTCGAGCCCATGAAGCTCCAGGTGTCTGCCTTGGAGATGAGCTCTTGAATCGGTCTCAATCCCTTGAAAAGGCTGAGGTCCCGGGAGGAACTTGCTCAACATTCATTACATGATCAGATTTGCACAGAACTAGCAACCTGAATTAAGATGAACATCCAACTCTTGATTCTAAAGATAGTTTATAATTTCCAAGTGATAATACATTGGATTATTTAGTCTTCCCTCCAATCTTGTAGAAACTAGTGAAGAATTCTTAACTCTCTGTTTGATGATTGTCTGCCACCTGGTGAGTCCTCTCCCCCTCCCTCCCTCTCCCTCCCTTCCTCCCTTCTCTCTCCCTGTCTCCCTCCCTCCTCTCCCTCTCTTCCCCTCCCTCTCTTCCCCTCCCCCATCTGTCCCTCCCTTCCTCTCGCTCATTTTTGAGACAGGGTCTCACTATGTGTCCTTGGCCATCCTACAGAGATCCATCTGCCTCCCGTTGTTGGGATTTAAAGGCTTTCACTGCCATCCCTGACTTCGACTGTGTTGTTTTTATGTATTGTTTTAACTTGAGAGTCACACCTCTGGAATGGGAAGTATGCAGCTCATTTTGTAAGCTGAACTAATCGTTGCATTTCTTTATAGTTAACTCTCCAACTATATTTTAACTTCATAGGTGGTGGTAGCCTACGCCTTTAATCCCAGTGAGGCAGAGGCAGGTGTATCTCTGTGAATTCCAGGACAACCTGGTCTACAGATTGAGTTACAGGACAGCCAGGGTTACACAGAGAAACCCTGTTTTGGGGGAGGGGGGGGAAGGCCACATGTGTGCTTTATATTTTAAACTTTTGGCTAGTGTTTAATGTTAATAACATTTGATATACATTATTATAATTAGCTGGTACTAATACAGTCATTTGAATTAAGCATGGGATGAGCTAAAGTTCTGGATGAAGCAATTGTTAATGCTAAATAAAACACCAGAAAAATGCCAACCCACAGCCTTGCTGTGAGTCAGCCCTGTTGTAGCAGAAGGAGTTTCAGGCCTTCAGATTATTGGGTTCAGTCTGCTCATTCCTCTTGGTCAGGAAACTGGAGCAGTTCCGAACCACCATCCATCACAGATGGCGGTGTCTCATTTCCCTGTGGCGGCCAGAGATGGAAAGAGTGTGCTTACTAATTTTTAAATGCATGGTTTAAATAATAGGAAATATATTCTTAACAATTACATGTCACTTTTAACATGTTAAGCATTCTTATAAAAGAATTTTAAGAGTACCCCCAACAAATTTAGCTTTCCGTGAGATCTTGTGAATTAAAAACTCAACTTCGTCAGCCGTTTGACCTGTGACTCTCATCAGTTTTTCTGTTAAAATAACTGACATTCCTGTGTCGTTGGGGAAGAGAAGCACTGCTGTCATAAAAATCCGGCCTGTGTTTTTCCATTTTACAATCCAACCACAGTTCTTCCTCCCACCCCTAAAACAGACTATTTTCGAAGATTATTTTTGACTTGCAAAGGCATGCTTTGTTTAAAATACTGAAGAGGTATGGACTGGTAAATATGGTCCGCTCACTGGTCTCAACACTCAAAGGAGAATGCACTAAAGAGGCAATCTTAATATTCTCCTTGTTGTTAGCATTTAGATCAGGAGGGAAGAATACAACTTTGTATAGTAAATGAGATGTATGTCCTCCGAAGTATGTTAAAGTGGGAATTACGCATTTATGAATGGTTTCAGTAGGTTATAAGACAGTCTCCTAAAGGGTAAATAAAAGTAGGAGATTTGAGAATGTATCATTTCTGCCTGTACAACCTGCGTGCAGTAGTAGATAAACTGGATTTGTGACTGGCTATTCTTTTAAGAATTTCCTACTAAAATCTGAAACAGATTTAGATATAAAGAAAGTGAGCAGAGCTTTTCTAAGTGTTTCCATAATTGTCTGTGGTCTGGTGATGTGGTGTAATCAATGGAAGAATGTAGGAAATAGCTTCTTTTTTATAACTCATAGGAAACACTCTGAGGGTCACTTTGGGTGCTGGAATCTAGGTAGCGGCTCGTTCTTTGCAGTCCACAGACTTTATTTTTAGAGCAAGGGCGTGATGCCTCGCTGCATCATGGCTAAATGTTGTTTTCCGAACGTAAGCTTTAAAATTGTTATCTTGGTCAGAGTGGAGTCAGTGATGCTTGTTTTAGCCCTGCCTGGAGAACTATACACTCAGCAGTGACTTAGCCACACTGATCAGGACTTTACAGGCTGCCATCCCCACCTCACCTCTGAAGGATGGTAAGCTAGAATTTAATTGTCTGATAGCTGTGGGGTTCTCCACTTCAGACTCTTTATATTGTTTTAAAGTTGCGTGTTCACGGGAAAAATATGTGCTCATTTTATGTATTAGATGTTCTTCTAGGTTTTACAGGGATAGATTTATTAGAGAGTTCTTTACGTGAAATTGCTTTGCAGGTTGTCCTCTGATTTCAGAAGAGAAGCCTTGGTTATTTGGGGTGTTGAATGCAGAAAGGGTCTGTAGGACGTGCAGTCTGTAAGACTTAACTTTGGGTGAATTAACTTCAGTTTCTATGCTTTTATGTTAGCCTGTCAGCAGTGTTCTTGGAGGGCATCGCATCCAGGATGAGGGTGATCTGAGTTGTTATCAGAATGGAAGATAGTGTCTGTCAGAGATGGAAGGGAGGGCCTGCTCCATTGGTCATTCTTTCTCTGATGGGATGGAGTGGCTAATGTGGGGATATCAGATTGTGTGTGCGTGAGGGCACGCACACACATGCACGCACGCACACACGCATCTCCTTGGTTTTTATTTCCCTCTTAAGCTTAGGGTGGTTCTAGGAATATGCAATCTTCATGTGCTGTGAGCTTTGACTTGATGCTGGTTGGACATAAGCAATGGTCCTTTTATAAAAAATCTTTCAGCTTTAGGAGTGAGTGAACTCAAAACTCAAGACCAGTTTTTCTCTTTTAGTTTGGTTGTTGGGGTGATAGTTGTGAATTGCTAGACATTTTTATGCAGTTATGTTACCCCACTGAAACAGACCACTGACAGATATAAAGACAATTCCACTTATTTTTGTTAATCCCTGTTGTGATTCATATTTAGTAATCTTAGATACTGATATTATTTCCTTGAACTCTTTCTCAATTAGGATTTAACCGCCACCATGTCGAGCAAAAGGGCCAAGACCAAGACCACCAAGAAGCGCCCCCAGCGGGCAACGTCCAATGTGTTCGCCATGTTTGACCAGTCCCAGATCCAAGAGTTCAAAGAGGCCTTCAACTTGATCGACCAGAACCGGGATGGCTTCATCGACAAGGAGGACTTGCATGACATGCTCGCCTCAATGGGTAATGTCCACTTACGATATTGGTATATTGAGTAGAATCTCCTTGTTCTTCATTATTCTTAAAGCTCTGTGAAGCTGGTGTAAGTGATTAATTTTGAAAAGTGTTTCCCACTGGGGCACATACATACACCTGTACCTATCTCGTGGTTGGGCCAAAGTACTGTGTGTGCATGCATGTATTTGGGTAGTGTTTGAGGAAGTGAGGGCTTAAGAGATGGCTGTGCGTTAAGAATGCATACGGTTCTTGCATAGGACTTGAATTTGGTTCTCAGCACATTCAGAGCTTACACCACCTGAAACTCCAGCTGCAGGGGGTTTCCTGCTTTGGATTCTGTGGACACCTGCACTCATGTGCGTGCACCTCCACACATACATACGTAATTAAAAATAAATCCTTAAGAAGAAAAAGTGAGAGGTCCTGATTAAAAGCGGTACTTACCCTTCTGGTATCTCACTGGGATATCATTGTGTATCTCCAAACTTTCCCCTAGTTTCGCTGCCATGAACTCACATAGCAAACACACAGTGTTTCATTCCTGCCAGAGTGTTTGCCATTATTAGAAGTTGGTATATTTCCTGATGGGATCATGAACATGGCTCCTTTTGTGTAGGAAAAAATCCAACTGATGAGTACCTGGATGCCATGATGAACGAGGCCCCAGGCCCCATCAATTTCACCATGTTCCTCACCATGTTTGGAGAGAAGCTGAATGGCACCGATCCTGAGGATGTCATCAGAAACGCCTTCGCTTGCTTCGACGAGGAAGCCACTGGTAAGTCAGGGTAACCTAATCACAGTGTAACTTAATACACGGTACGTCAGCTGTGGTGAGTTAGCACTTTTTGAGGGTTTTGTTTGCTCTTCTCGTCACTCGCCTTAACTCTTCCTCCCGTTAAGTGTTGGATAGATCTCGGGGCGTTTGTTGGTTCCATTTGCATTATTTACTCTCTTACATAAAGGTTAATTTCCCCGAGGTCCTGGCTGTCAGTTCTGTGTAAATGAGTGGTTGGCCAGAGCATCCCATCGGTAAATTACTGTAGATCACAGCAGTAGTGTCCGTCTAGTGTTGGCCTGTCATGCCTCTCTCCACTCCAGAATCATTCATTAAATAATACATTAAAATATACCAAGAGGGACTTAGACTCTAGACAATCGGGCTAACTGGTTTCAGGTTCTTCTGCTGTGTGGTAGCTGTGTAATTTGGGCAGGTTATTTTGCTAAGGTTCTGGTTTTATTTATTTATTTATTTTGATGAAACTGGCAATCATATAACCTGTCTTGTGGGGCTGTTACAAGGATGAAATGAGGAAATGAGATTAGTGTACTGGGTTCCTCGCGTGCTGCTGGCGTGTGAAGGGCTGGGTGTGGTACTGCAGCACTAGAGCTCAGCACCTAGGAGGCCGAGTCCGGAACCATGGGTTTGGGCTACCCAGTGATAGGACTATATCCCAGAAGGAAAACCATTAAAACAAACAGTGTTGCTTATTAGAACGCCTGGTCCTTTGGCCATACTTTCTAAGGTTTCCACTCTGTGGCTCAGCCGTGTGTGTGTGTGTGTGTGTGTGTGTGTGTGTGTGTGTGTGTGTGTGAAGAGGGAAGACACGCCTCTGACGGCCTGCATTAAATAGGCTAGTCCTAAGTGTCAGTGGTTGTCAGGGCCGGCTGTTGAAAGCATGGTCTCCTGGCTCTACCCTTCAGGTTCCCCCAGTACGTTTGTCTTCCGAAGAGGCACACACGAGCACACGTGTGACTTTGCAGACGTGTTTGGCTCCTAAAAACCAATAAGCGTTTCCTTTCTTTCCATGCACCGGGTTTTCCGCTTGTGTCTATCTCCTGACGCATGCATGGTTGGTGTATTTAGTTGTGTGCTTACTCCCAATCACAGTTAATTTACATGCCAGTCAAGTGAGTGGCTGGAGTTAATGACATATTACTACGAAGCTACAGTTCTAAGATCCTAGGGACCTTTTTTGAAAACATGCAATTGGAGTTTGTCAATTGTAGGAAATGCATTCTTAGTGTATTAATTTCACAAAGCAGGAAGTTGTCAGTCTTTCTCTTTTGCTCTGTGATTAAACCTCTGTTTCATTTATTTTCTGCCTATAGTATATTAAGCGTAATCATTGTGTGTACAAGTTACTTGGGGAGTCCTTTAAAACTCCAATGCTAGGAAAGAAATGAGGGCTGACACAGAGTGCTGCTGTCCTGTTTGGCAGGTGGGTTTTATGAAGATGACGTCAGGTGACAGGTGACTGCCGTTCACTTGTACAATAGGTATAGCCTCTTTCTGAACACCAAGAAGCATGTGGGGCGGGCAGACAGAGCCAAGTAATGCCATTGAGCATCTGGCGGGCTCTCTACCAGGGTTGCCAGGGCCACGGAAACACATAGGCTGTGTAGTTGGGTGTGGGTGTTCTGATCCACTGTGCTTTTTTGTTTGTTTGTTTGTTTGTTTGTTTTTCCAGACAGGGTTTCTCTGTGGCTTTGGAAACTGTCCTGGAACTAGCTCTTGTAGACCAGGCTGGCCTCGAACTCACAGAGATCCACCTGCCTCTGCCTCCCTAGTGAGTGCTGGGATTAAAGGTGTGCGTCAATTCTTTATTCTCCAGGCACCATCCAGGAGGATTACCTGCGGGAGCTGCTCACGACCATGGGCGACCGGTTCACAGATGAGGAGGTGGATGAGCTGTACAGGGAAGCCCCCATTGACAAGAAGGGCAACTTCAACTACATCGAGTTCACACGCATCCTCAAGCACGGCGCAAAGGACAAAGATGACTGAAGAACTCCAGTTTTCCAGCCAATGTTCCCTGTTGCCACTTGGGGTATTTCTGAGACTTTTCTCTTAGAACCCGTTGTGTGCCCTAGCCTACTGCTTTTTGCCTTTCTTGTTTTGTATTTATATAATCTCAGCCTCTTTGGGCCACTTGTACCTTTATAATCAGACTGGAAATGGGACTTTCTGCCGTTACCTGCCTAGAAAGTCGGTAATTTAACTTACAGGCAGTTTTGCCCCTCCCGTGTAATAACTGCAGCCCACACAGAGTCAATATATTTTTTCAGAGAGAGTCATCCACTCAGTTTTTTCTGAATGACAATTAAACTTTCTGATAAAATGCTCAGTCGTTTAAACTTATTTCCCACTTCACTTTTAGATTCGTTTGTGTCTTTCAAAGCCGGGGATGACATTCCCATCTGAGCTTGCTCACACTCCTTCCAGCATTCCTTGTGTTTTTAAAGGAGGGCTGGTTCCCCCTCATCTGTTTATTCCTCTCCTCCTGGGGAAGTCAGGACTTCAGTTTTGAAAATAATTCCTTCAGAATCAAGATCACTGGAGTAGCTTAGAACACTAGAGCTTGACACTCTTGCTTTAGCTCTTCCCACTTTAAACTTCTATACATCACTTCCTGCCACCTAAAATAAGACCATCTGTTCTATTTAGAAACCGTCTCAGCTCCAAAGGTTCTGTGGAATGCTTTTAACAAAAAGGTTTCTGGGTTGTATTTCCAGCTGTTGGAAATACACTTAGTATTGTTGTTGCATACAGTTTCTCCTTATTATAGCAACCCCTATTGAAAGACCATGTTTGTTTATGCAGAGGTCCATCAGGACCCATGAGTGAGTTTTAGACATTCCTGACCTACCCACAGTCAGGACAGCTGTGCTGCATGCCTGGGAAAGTGAGGTCATTGTTTCGATCCTAAAAATAACTTCCTGTTATTTGTGATAATTCAGAACTGTTGCCGAGTTAATTGGGGAGAACACTTGTTCTGTTTAGTTTCCTCATGTTTCAAAAATTGCCAAGTTTAAAAAAGGTTTGAAGCTCATGGGGGTTGGTGGGTCTGCTTCAACAAGACCTCCTTGAAGGAAACCATTACCTCATTTGATAAACAATTACGGAATGCCTTTGAGCTGCAGGTTAGAGAGCCAAGTTAGGGAGCCAGCTTAGGGGGATGGGGTGGAGGAGGGCGCTACCCCTTCAAGAGTGGAATCATAGAAATCCTGCCCTGATTTCCTGCTTGAATTTCATTGTTTTTTGTTTTGTTTTGTTTTGCTTTTAGGCAGAATACCTTTTCCAGCTTATCCACTCAGTGCTAGTCTTGTTGAATTTCCATTTCTACTGAAAACAATGCAAAACCCAAATGAGCTATATCTGCTTTAACATATCTTCGACGAGGAATAAGTTATTTCCACTACAGGAGAAAAGGCTCTGCTAGATTATCTCATACAACGTCCATTTCCATGTGGGCAACCTCTTAAGTTGGGATCAGTAGGTCAGCCTGGATTCTCTGCACAGTGGCTGGGCTTTGCTTAAGCAGGAATAGCCACCCACAAAAAGCTCCAAGAACCTCCCCCTCCCCCAGCAGTGGACTTGACTGCAGAACCAGTCTCTGAAAGTTCCCAGAGGAGAATGGTCTCAAAGTCATCCAGCTCTAAAGCCCCCGGCGGAGCACACCCCCCCCCCCCATGGGGCAGCACCTGCTCAGTGATGGCCCCAGCCATTGGGACTCAGAGCCCAAACTGATCAGGGAGCCTGAGACTTAAAGGGTAGGAAGCAAACGTGACTGGGACAGAGGGAGGAAGGCCAGAATAAAAGGCAGGTCCTGAGAAGGGAGCTGCTTTCCACAAAATGTGAAGGGAGTGACAAAGGGCAGGAAGCTTAAGAGGGTCAAGTAGACAGGGAGTAGAGGGCTTCGAAGGGTGTGAGCCACGGTTACACAAAGCTGGTTTAGGAGGAAGGAGGGTAGTTAGCAAGTCACAGGGAAGCATAGGGAGGTTGATTTGGCATGCATCGGTCGTTAGGCAGTCCCGGGTGTAGGAAACATCATGGTGAACAGTGGTAGAAAAATCAGATCTGCATTCCCAATCCCCGCTTTTGTGGCATTAGGCAAGCTAGTTAACCCTTACTGGCCTATTTATTCACTTAACAATACTGTTTAATACTGTTCACAGTGGCATTTTTATGATTAAAAGCAGCATATCCGGAGCTGGGTGTCAGTTGCGTAAAACCCCACCGCCCACCCCTCCGCTACCCAAGTGGATTTTGTGGTCAGGCTATTTTCAAATGCCAGCTCCCTCATCTGAAACAGGAATGCTCCCTTCTAAGTCTGCTACAAAAATTAGAAAGGTGGAGGGAGAAAAAAAAAAAAAAAAGATAAGAATGCAACAGATACTCACACTAGTGGGCCTCCGAAAGAAAGTTTAAAGACAAGGCTCAACGGGCCTAGTCTTAGAGGTGCAGTCTTGTATCTACAGGGTGGGAGTGCTGGGATTCAATCCTGGGTCCTCTTGCCTACATGGCAAGCACTCTTAGCTGCCAGGCCATCCCCTCAGCCTCTCTCTCTGCTCGAACTCCAAGGCCCTCTTCCCTACCCGCTTCTCTGCCACTGGAATGCCAGCATTGAAGGCATGTGCCGCCGCGTCCCGCCCATCTGCTGATCTTACACTGTGGACTAGGGGCTTGGGAGTGCCAGTAGACAAACTCTTTAATAAAGAAACATAATGACAAACTTTTATAAGTTTTTTTATAAGAAACATAACTACTTAAACACTGAGTTGTTGAAGGCATCACCTGGCCTATTAAAAAAGGAAATTATTTTCCATCTCTGACCTGTTCAATACCAGCTCCAGATATTCGGGTGCAGATTTAAAGCCACCCTCAGTTTATCTCAGGAGGGGTGGAGGGTTCTTTTATTTTACATTTTATCCATGTGTTTTGTTTGCAGAGGGAGGGGATTGCTCATTCCCAAGATGAGCTCAGAGGACGACTTGCCAGAATTGGTTCTCTGTGGGTCCTGAGAATCGAATGCAGGTAGTTAGGCCTGGTGACAGGTACCTTCACCTGCTGAAGCATCTTGCTGGCCCCTAGCTTGTTTTTGTTTTGTGTTCTAAGTACTATTCGGTGCTGAACATACATGGTGTTCCTACCCTGTACCAATTTTTTATCAGACTTCTAGAATACGAACTCCAGAGGGAAGATCCTTTTCATTGTCTCCCCAGCTCCTGGCACACGTTTAGGCCAAAAAAGAAAAAAAAAAGTGCTTAATCAAGACTGCTACTAGACTATCCATTATTTCAAAATAGTGCTACTCATCTAGATTATCCTAATATGGGAGGGGGCAGTGTAAAAAACTAGTCTCAAGAATACAATCATGAACAGTATGTAGCACAATCCTGTGCAGCGCAAGTAGAAACTGGGGAGATAAAGTAAAGGGCGCTTGGCTGGAGTGCGTTTTTCAAACCAGCGAAGGCGTTGCGTTCCCGGAGCTCAAGCGGGGGGCACTCGGCCGCCGCCCTCTTGCGTCTCACATTCCTCCTCCAGAAAACTGTGCATCTGGAACTCAGTCCAGCCAGGACAACCAAGTGCCCGCTGCTAAGTCAGGCAACCCCTGTGTGGCCGCTCCCGGCGCCTGGGGACCCCCAAAACCGGGGCGGATCGCGGCCCACCCGGGTCAAATTCCAGCGCCCGCGCTCCGCCCTCGGCCCAGGAATGCGGAAGGGCCGCGGGACGGGCACGGGAAACCGGGAGGGAGGTGGGGACCGGCGACCCGGGGCGGCTGCAGCGGGCGGAGGGTGGGTGCCGTGCAGGCGAAGTCGGGGAATCCGCATCGCGGCCACCCAGGCTCGGTTGATGGAGACGCACAGCCAGGCTGGCGGCCGCCCAGGCCCGGGTCCCGCCGAGCGCTCGCCGCCGCACCCCTCTCCCCCGCCGCGGTTGGTCGCGCCCGGCTCGCGGGCGCCCCTTCCGCCCCGCCCCGGGCCGGAAGTGCGGCGCCGCCACCGTCCCCTCCGCTGGTCGCAGTAGCCGGTCGGGTCGTCTCGCGCGCGCGTCCTCGGATCCGGTGAGTGGCACCCACCGCCCCCCACCCCAGGCCGCGTCCGCCTGCAGCCCCCCCAACTCCCGGGCGAGGCTGGCGGGGAGGCGGCGGCGCTGGATGAGGCCCTGGCGCAGGTCCCAGGCGGGCGAACCGTGCCCGAGGCTCCCCGGATCTTGGGCACAGGCCCTTGCACGGCCCGGGTGACCCACACCTCGTAACCCCGGCTGCCTGCACCTGCCGCGGCTGCAGGCTTCGGGTCCTAGCGCTGTGCTTGCGCCCGCTGCTGCGCGGTTCCTGCCCAAGGAGCCAGCCAACCGGTACTGGGGTTCGCGGTTAGCAAAGGGCTAAAACGGGCCGGTTTCCGTGCGTTCTTACCGCGCCTTCCGCGGACGATCCAAGGAAAGATGGGAAGAACTGAGAACCCGCGGAGCAGGGGGCTCCCCAGAGGAAGAACCGGGTGCTTTGGGTTGGATGTCTGGGAGGAGGTAGCAAAAGCGAAAGCTGAAAAGTACAGGAAGCACGGGGTGCCGGCCCGAATGAGGAAGGTAGTTAGCCGGCTTAGGCCTTTTTATGGGTGTACTGAAAACCTGAAGAGAAATGAGAAATTACGTAAGAGGCTTTAGGAAGCCGCTTGAATCCCTCTCGCACAATGAGAGGGCGTTTAGGGGGTCAGGTTGACAGCTTTTGTTAAAGGTGGCTTTGCTGTATGTAGTCCTGTGTGTTGGAGAAGAATTATAGCGTTTTCTAATTCAGTAGACTCTTAGAGACTATCTCCTGGAACTTTTAGTTTACGACCGATCATGGGAAGTGCTGGGGTGATTTGTTTGTCTGGGCTCACTTGAGGAATTCATAGGATGCCACCAGTTCTCTCTCTCTCTCTCTCTCTCTCTCTCTCTCTCTTTCTCACACACACACACACACACGCACGCACACGCACGCACGCACACACACAGGCACCTGATCACTCTTCTGAGTACACAGCTTTTTGATGGTTCCCTCTGTGTTAAATAAAGAGTCTATGATGGCAGCCTCCGTCTTTGCTTATGCAGCCCGGGAAGGACAGATGCCCAGGTGATGGTGGCTGAGCTTAGGAAAACCAGTAAGTCTTAGCAGTCTTGCCAGGCGTGGGAGTGGGCTCAGGTTGGCATTTTTTTAGAGGAAGTAAACGGCTTGGAAAGCATGATATCCTGGACAGTTGCTCTGGGCTCTGTGGCATGGACTAGAGACTCGTTTGCAGACATTGGGAGGTAGTCCTAGCTACTCCATAGTTTGTGGGGCTACTTCCCATGCACAGGCCCTCCTCCTCGGACTATGGGAGCGAAAGGGTCTGCATGGAGAAGTGAGGCCAGACAGACCTAAAAGCACTTGAGTCAGAGAACTCAGCGAGATGAACGTCAAACTTTACATCACCATTTTCTAAGCCCCAACGTACACTTAGCCTTGCTAGCTACCTCACCAGAAGTTTTCAAGGTGGGCGCATTGTAGCTGCTGATGGGAAGGACACGAGGGGCTGGTGGGACATGACCTTCAGCTGGATTCCCTGGGTACACATTCTGCCACTTCCTAGCTTTTGTCTGGGAAATATCGATAACAGTAAGCCTGCATTATAAGCTCTTGTGCGGGTTAAATATTAATGCATGTGACACCTGTAGCTTGTCCTTTGATAATATTCATCCCAAGTACTGAGCAAGGGATAACTAGCTGGTGCCATTTGTGAAGGGTCTCTTGAAAAGGAGACTCGATAAGTGTGCACTGACTCTAGAAAAAAAAAAAGCCTTATTTTAGGAGTGCTCAGATCCAGCACTTACCTAACCGTGAACATTTGTGTATGCAATTTGTTTTTGATGGGAAGAAACTAATTATATGCATGTTCTTGCTTGCCTAGTATTTATTTGGCACCTGCCATGTGCAAGGCAGCCCTCTAGACTTCATAATCCAAGTAGAAAGACAAAAAGCTGTAAAAAGCCTTTGTAAGTAAATTGATCTCTGAGTTCGAGGCCAGCCTGGTCTACAGAGCTAATTCCAAGACAACTAGGGCTGTTACACAGAGAAACCCTGTCTTGAGAAAACAACAACAATAGTAATAATAAAAATATTTGTAAGTTGTAATTTGCAATGTAATTCTACTAATTAGTAGAAAAGAATAAAGGGCTGTTCAATGTGTAGCCCTTGCCTAGCACATTTGAGGCTCTGGGTTTGATACCGCACACACTCAAAAACATTTTTTTAAAGAGGAGGAGGACCACTCATAAACTCAATGGGTCAGTGCCACAAATATTACATTGAAAGAATCCAGGCTGGGCTGGAGAGATGGCTCAGCAGTTAAAGAGCACTGCCTGTTCTTCCAGAGGACCTGGGTTCAATTCCCAGCATCCACATGGCAGCTCACAGCAATCTGTAATTCCAGTTCTAGGAATTCTGGCTTCCTGATGCAGACAGACATGCAGGGAAAACAAACAAACAAACCTTAAAAAAATGAAAGGAAGACGCCCCTACACAAGTACTGTACACTTGTCATTTGATCTCAGAGAGCCCTGACAAGAGAAGGTCAAGGCAGTGGTGACCTCCAGTCCTAGCACCTGGAAGCTGAGGCTAGGAGGTCCTGAGCGTCACTCAGCCTGGGCCGTCTCAAAAAGGAAAAGAAATTCTAACAAAATTTGCCTAGGGGGCTGGGGTGCACAGTTGACTTCCGGGGAACTGTCTGGAATGGTGTTTAACGTTGGTAACTAACTTGGGTTATTACATGGGTGTACACGGTTACAGAAGTGATTAGAGCTGACTGAGAAATGATGGAGAGCTGCCTGAGAGGGACACCCAGAGCTCCTCTAAGGGGGGAGGAAGAGATGACCCAGTGTATGTGTCGAGTGTGAAAATATGAGTATGGGGCAAGTTTGCCTGGTGTTAAGAAAAGTTGTAAAAAAAAAAAAAAAAAAAACTGTTTGGCTCTTTATAAGAAAGATAATTATGCAACTTTTAAAAACCTACGTATGTGGCATAAAAACAATTACATGTCATTAAGTATATGAGGTTAATTTTGTGAGGCATTTTAATTTGATTATATACTGAATTCTCTCTCTGATTGCTGTTTCCAGTCATGTGATCCTCATAATTAGAACAAATACTAACTAATCACGAGAATCCTTGTGCAGTTTCTAGACTCTGACAGACCTTGGAAAAGATGAAACTGGATTTAAAAACATAATAGTTTTAAGCCTTGGAGCCACTCTGTGCATTTTGTTCTTCCCGTGAATCTGCTTACAAATCTGCCAAACGAGAATCTGCTCCCTGGATAGATGTACCACCGCCACCTTGGGTGTCTGACCCGGGTATCTCAGCTACCACTCTAGTGTAGTCGGGCTAAATCGAGAACTCTTTTTTGTTTAATTGTGTGTGTGTGTGGGGGGTACCTGTGGACCAGTGAATCAGAGGCATCGGATCCCCTGGAGCTGGAGTCACAGGTGGGTGTGATTTCCCGGCCCCTCCAAAGTGGGTGCTGAACATCTGTCTGGGTCCTCTGCAAGAGCAGCATTCACTCTTAATGACTGAGCCATCTCTGCAGCCCCTGAAATCTGGATCCTTTATGACTTCTTTTTTCCTCCCTTTCCATCCCTAATTGACTCACATTGAGTGATGACTTTTATCTCCCCCCCCCCCCCCATTTTATGGTTTGTGTTTGGTTCAGTCTCTAAGACAAAACTTCGTTCTGTAGCCAGGCTGGCCTGGGACCCATTGTGTAGCTCAGGCTAGCCTCTGCCTGGAGAGTGCTGGGATGACGGGCTTAAAGCACCACACCCAGCTTGAGTGGAGCCTTTGCGATACGAGTTTTTCAACCAGTATTTATATAAGCACATTTAAGGATAGAACTTTGAGGAAAGCTGCAATTAGAAAGCAAGAAAAACCTGCAAGGCAGTAGAGGAAAAGGAAATAGGATAGTGGTGACAGAGAGAAGAATTGCTTTTAAGACAACCTGCCGTACTGGGACAGAAGTTCTATCATGGCTACGTTTTCTTAATCAGAAATAGAAAATCCCCTAGTCACCTGGCTGGTCCATTTGAACTTTCTAGAATTCTGTGGCTCTAAATGTTTCCTCGTCTCTTATTAAAGAAAGGGAGTACCAGTGGTGTTTCTGCTTTTCTACTGACATGTAACTGATTCTTCTCAACTTTGTTTTGAGCACCTACAAGCAATACCTGGGGTTTTCACTTTGAGACAGGATCTTTATTGTCCTGGAGCCAAACTATGTCGACCCGGCTGACCTTGAATTTAGGGATATCTGCCTGCCTCTGCCTCCAGAGTCCTTGGATCAGAGGGTGTGCCACCACACCTGGCTAATAAATTCCAGTCTTTAAGAGCCCAGACTCTCCTAGCAGTGTAGTCTTGTGTGGTTGTCGTTATCTGAAGGGGGATTGTCTCCAGTGTGGCTGACTCACAGGGCTGGCCAGGTGCTGCTGGCTGTGGTAAGAGGCCTCAGTCCCCTGCTTCCGGGTGCTAGCATCTATGAATTGACTGACAACCGGGCAAGCAGGGAGGCAGTGTCCGTTGTGACAGTCAGCCACCATCGTTTCATAACACTGTTGTTTACACGGGTTTCTCTTTTCACATTGGGGTAGCTGGACAATGACAGCTGTTGAGGGTCACCTTGGAGACTAAAAGTTCAGTGCCACCAGCATTGTAGCATGAAGGGGATGCAGGATGTAAGTCTAGTTGTTCAGGATGTCTGAACTTGAGGTTTTTTAAGTACATGTTACATTAAAAAAAAATCAGCAAGCTAATTTTTGAAGAGACATTTTAAAGGCCATCTGGGGTGGGTTGGTGGGGTCTACTAAGTAAACCTGCCTACAGACTGCATGTAATTTGCTGGCTGCCAGTTACTGGATATGTGCCGCCTCTGAGTATGTGCGTATGTGTGCACATGCATGTGCAGCCCAGAGGACAGTCCCTGGTGTCATCCCTTAGGCGTGCTCAATTTCTTTTTGAGGCCTATCTCCAACTGGCCTTCCTGCATCACCAGACATGGATTCTGG